GGCCACTTCATAAGAATTGATTAGCATGTTAATGAATGGGCTGCACTTTCTCATCACGAGAGGCTACGGCAGGGTGTGATGAGGGGAGAGGTTGCTCTCAGCACAGGCCCCGTCCAGCTGGTTGTTATGCATGCCGAGAGGCGTCATCGATCTCGGAGAAATCTTATTACATGCTCCAGACACTGTCTGAAAATGTTTAGCGCTGAACCGATAGAGGAGGGGAGAAAGTTTCAGAATTTAATGTTGTAAAAAGGAAGAGATGATGTGTAAAGAATGCAGCCAGGTTTTAAATGATGTCCTCCGCTTTTTGAAATTTCATCGGCATTCCGCGGTAAAGGGGAGCTGTGGCGAACGACCTTTAAAAGGACCTCTCGCACTTGGTCCCGCTTCAGTGTTAACAAGACAGATTTTAGACCAAGTCAAAGGTCATCTTGTATGGACACTGTTGTCCAATTTCTATGCCATCAGAGAACTTCATCAAGGCTCCAGAATAAGAAAACATGACCTGAAAACATGACCTGACGTCATGCCAATTGCATGCTCCCTCAAAGCTTGCGACATCTGATAAAACTGTACATTTTAGGCCATGTTTACACAAAGCCGGGTATTTAGCAAAACGAATATTTTCCCTCTCTCCGTTTTCAAAAATTACATCGTTTACACACCCGCATAAATACGCCGTCGAGCGCCATCGTAACTATGCCAAACCTATTGGCGGCAGTGTAGGGTTAAGGATAAAGCCATTCAAGCCAATCAGAATCCTCAGAAACGACAAGAGAGAACCTAAAACGCCGTTTCTCCCAGTTCACACGACAACACATAACCGGCGTTTTCAGAAATCTCCACTTTGGCTGGAGTTTTTAGAAATAATCGTTTTCAGTGATAAAACGGCGTTTTCGTGTAAATGAGAGGAGAAATATCTGCGTTTTCCCATCGTGTAAATGGGGCCTTAGTGGCTTTTATTGTGGACAGCCTAAGACACACCTGTGCAATAATCCTGCTGTCTAATCAGCATACTGATATTCCACACCTGTGAGCTGGATGGATTATCTCGGCAAAGGAGAAGTGCTCACTAACACAGATTTACACAGATTTGTGAACATTATTTGAGAGAAATAGGCCTTTTGTGTACGTAGAAAAAGTCTTTGAGTTCAGCTCATGAAAAATGGGGGCAAAAACAAAAGTGTTGCGTTTGTCATTTTTCATGAAAGTTTCCAATGGTGTATTGTAGTTTTAATAGGATTCTTTTAAGGATATGATGGTGATTGAAATAACTTTTAGAATATTTTTGGAGTAGAACATCTTTGTTGATCCTGGAACAACCTTCCAATTAACCAATCAGATTTAAATGAACAAATTTAAAGGCAGAAACTGGCATATGTTGAACGTAACTTTAAAGGGTTAGTTCACCCAAAAATGAAAATTAAGTCATTAATTACTCACCCCCATGCTGTACCAACCCCGTAAGACCTTCGTTCGTCTTCGGAACACAAATGAAGATATTTTTGATTAAATTTGAGAGCTGTATAACTACCACATTGGCTCCTAAGGGACTGCCTCTTGACGGCCCAGAAAGTCAATGAAGAAAATGTTTAAATATCCCAAGTGACTACCGTGGCTCAACTATATGTTTATCAAGCGACGCGAATACTTTTTGTGCGAAAAAACAAACAAAAATAACGAGTTTATTCGACTATTCCCTTTCTTCCTTGTAGGCCAGAAACGAGACTTCCTTAGATTTCCACGACGCATGCGCGAGAACTGAACTGATCAGTAGTGTAAGGAGATCGCAATTCTCGCGCATGCGTCGTGGAAATCTAAGGAAGTCTCGTTTCTGGCCTACAAGGAAGAAAGGGAATAGTCGAATAAACTCGTTATTTTTGTTTGTTTTTTCGCACAAAAAGTATTCGCGTCGCTTGATAAACATATAGTTGAGCCACGGTAGTCACTTGGGATATTTAAACATTTTCTTCATTGACTTTCTGGGCCGTCAAGAGGCAGTCCCTTAGGAGCCAATGTGGTAGTTATACAGCTCTCAAATTTAATCAAAAATATCTTCATTTGTGTTCCGAAGACGAACGAAGGTCTTACGGGGTTGGTACAGCATGGGGGTGAGTAATTAATGACTTAATTTCATTTTTGGGTGAACTAACCCTTTAATAATAAAAGAAACATAAGCAAAAAAACAAAAAACAAAAGTAAAGTGGCAGCCCCTCACTTACAACTGCTGCATAAACAAAAACAAAACAACAACATAAATGTCCCAGACCTGGTCCTCTCTGCACCTCTTGCTTCTTGCCACAGGCAAATTTATAGTTTATGTTAAGTTTACAAGCTTACAGGGCTTACAAGCATGGTTAGGTTTCTATATCTGTGTTATTTACTTATCATTTCCCTCTGATTTTAGGTACATGCTATGTGTAGAGTTAGGTTTAGGGGTAGTAATAGGGTTAGGACAACATTTTCGGTGAGGGAAGTGTTCCAGAATCAACAAAATATGTTGATCCAGGAACGTCTTAACTGGCAAAATCACGGCAGCCTTATTATGCTATGTAAAAACCACACAATTTAAAGACTTTTCCAAACTTACAGCTTGATTTTAAAGCTTTTTAACCTCTTTTTGTTTTCACGCAGCATGTCTCATATTTCATGACGTCATAACCTTAATTTTTTTATTGATAGAAATTATTTTCACACAGTATTTTTTTAATGATTACTTATTTGTTTAGAATTTTTTTTAATAAGTGACAATAGATTTTTTTTTTTTTTTGTGGATTTTAATATTTTTAGATATTTAAAATATTAAAATCTGTAACAAATAGAAATGGGGAAGGCATGGAAAAAGTGGCAGTTTTAATGTTAATTTTATACTGTAGGCCTATATCAAGAATAATATTCAAAATGTAATTAAGAAAACAACATTCAGTACTTACTAAACATACCATCACAATATTGTAGCATTTGGTACATTAGTGTGTGGGCTCTTGGAGTGAACCTGACCTAGATGTTGAACAGGATCTTTCTACTGCTCCTACAGTCTAACTCTGCCTTTCTTGCTCTCTCTTCCTCTGTCTCAGGGAATAAAGGTTAAGACTGGAATCAAATGAAGTGTAAAGCACTCACGCTTATCTACCCTCTGTTTCTTTTTTTGTCTCTCCCATCTACTTTTTTGGTGTGTTTTCTACCTTCTTGGCAGACCTAAATGTTTACCCCACTGCATTTCCTGCAGGCGACCAAATACGTGTCAAAGGGTGAGAGACAGAGATTGAGTCTCCCACCATGGGAAACTTTTGACAGACATATATCATGACTTCTGGGGCGGGGTGGGGATCTACTGTAGATCTGTCAGCATCTATTACGTTGTCATTAATATTAATCCAACAACAAAGAAAAAAATGTGGCTTATGGTTTGGCTGTATTACATTCTTCATTTTAAAAGCCATTTTAAACAAGCTCAAGTCTTAATAAAATAAATCTTCTCAAAGTCAGAGTGAGTTGAATGTATGTTAATGTATTAAAGCCAAGAGTCACACTCTGCCAATAATATGCAAATAATTTAAGTCGGGTTTTTTTTTTTTTGACTACTCATTTATTCATTTTATTACTTGAATAATTACTTTGAGAGATGTATTTTATTTTAAAGTCTGTGTGTCCAACTAACACACAGGAGATCGCAGAAATAGTAGTAATAGAAAACCATCCCATAAAACCAGGACGATAACGTCCTGTTTGCGTATGCAATCAGGGAACGGAGGATGTAGTCAACGGTCGACTGAATGGGGGATTAAAAGATTATTTTGTACTTTGAAAGGTATAAAAGATTAGGTTCAACAATTGTTTTTGCTGTGGTATCAAAGCTTTAATTTTCACCGTACTGTTATCTAATATGCTGTTATTTTGTCAACCATGCACAAAGCTACATTGAACTTGGTTCATAATAAGGCACAAAGAGCCTTGTTTGCCAACAAAAGGAATATCAAATCTGACATCCCAATCAGAATCAGACTAAATTAATTGAATCTGTAATAGAGCATATCGCTCTCTCTTGATGTGGGGTCTACACACAAAACAAAACTTACTAAATGCGACAAAAAAATGCAGGCAGGAAAAATGTGAGTATTTAGAAAAAGTGAACAAGTGAAGGCTCTAATTTTACTGGTTATATAAAAAAACAAAACAAAAGCTTTTTAAGAGGCAGAGAAAATGATTCGATTTTGATGAATGGCTATAAAAACAAACATGCACGGATGAATAGCTCATAATAAAAACAGGCATTTATTAGTAGAGTAATTCGAGTCTTTTATTTATGTACAATATTCTTTTGCACTTTACAACAAAATGAAGGAAAAATACACCATGAACTTTAGTCAGAATACCTGACCACCGAGACCAACCCTGAACTTAAACTCCTGAATGTTTACAGACACAAAAGAAGGACACACTGTGCTCCTACTGCACACAAAATGAGATGGAAACACAATTGCACTTTTGAACCTCATGCGCTTCACATAAATCAGGGACATATTCGATCCTCCCTATATGCAAACCTCTACAAAGAGCATCTATTGTGCGTGTGTGTAATGCTTACAAATGCTGTGTCAATGTAAACCTGTTCATGTAGGGAAAGTGATGCCAATGGCAGTGTTAAATATGTCAATGACATTTTTACTCTTTATTTCACATTCTACTAACTAAGTAACTTTACAACTACACATTGTTAGTGCAATAGACAGTTAGATTAGGACAATAAGTTGACATGTACTTGAAAAGCCAACATCTGAGACTTACATAAAAATTCCAAAAAGATTTATACTGTAGATTTTGTCAGCAATAATCAATATAAGACTAACATACATGCATACTTATAATTAACCGATTCTAATAAAGATTTTAAAATTTGTCATTTTGCACATTGTGGTCTTTTTGGCTAAAATAGAGTTCAGCATAACTGTCGAAATAAAGTTCAATTAACTTGTGTATAAAAATGTTGTTTCCTACAGGATGATCTACAGAAGATGAAGCAACAGGCTCAAGAGACGAAACAGTCCAATGAGAAACTGGAGGCAGAGGAACGCGAGCTGCTGAAGATCATAGCAAAGGCTGACGTAGAGAGGATCCGGCAGAAAAAGGAGCTCGATCAGGTACAGAGTACAGACAGGTGGAAGGTTTTTGTGTCCGCGTGTCCTTGTGTTCCTCCTTCAATAGAATGTTTAAGCTAAGGATGAAAGAGACAGTAATCTAGGTTCACTCAAAAGTCATTAGATCTGGAGTCTCACTTCTGAGAAAGTCCAGTGGGGCCACGGCCAACCTCTCTTTAAAAAATCGGGAGGAAATTGACTCACTGGATGTCTAAATTGGTCTTGGCATTCTGAGACATTTAGAGCTTCTGATCTCAGTAAGTCCACAGTCGAACCTGCTTAACTAGCTGACCAGACAAATAATTCAAATAGTAAGCACTGATGTGATTAACTTAAAATATTATGATATTATATTATGCCACTTAAATATGCATCAACATATTTTTATTATTTTAAAAATTCTTTAGAGGCTTAACATTTAAAATGTCTAAAATGCTGTTAATAATAAAATAAAACCTCATTAAAAAGCTGAAATTCTTTTAAAAATATTAAAAAAGCATTTTCGCACAATATTTAATTATTATTATTATTTTAAAAAAGCAGTGAAGCGGAGTGATGTTTTAAAATATTGATAATATTTTTGAAAAACTTTGAACTGATGTTTGCTGTATCAAAGTCAGTAGATTTTTTTATTTTTATTTTTTTAAATTGCTTTTCATGTCAAGATTAGTTTAGGCTTTCAGATAAATGCAAAGTACCCCATGCAAACTTAATGTTATTTAGGATTTAACTCATTTAATATTTGTGCTAAATATTATTTACTGTGAAAATATGTTTATTTATTTACTTATATTTTTTTTATTTATGTGCTTATTTATTTTGTAAATAATGATTAATATGTATATGCGCTCATATATATACTCAATGTGTAAGTAAATATAGTAAATATGTAAATATGAAGAGTTCAGATGCAAAAGCCTCTAAGTGCCATTTGAAATTTTCCTCTAGAATGATCATTTTTATCAAGCTTGTATATTTAAGTTCAGTGATTTCACTTAAATGGCAATCATAATTACCTATTAATTGTTATTTAAGTGAAATTACTGAACTTAAATATACAAGTTTGATAAAAATCATCATTAAAGAAGAAAAATTCAAATGGCATTTAGAGGCTTTTGCATCTGAACTCTTCATATGCTATTACTTTTAGTAACCGCTTTTCCATTACCCTGCAAATTGCACAAATTGAAATTGTGAATTGAAAATATGGCTAATTTCGCAAAAACTCGATCACAGGGCGAAAAGGATTTGAAAAAGGAATATTTCGCAAAACTTTTTTGCATTTACAGGTCACCTTGTAACAGTTGATCATTCTTTAAAAAAGGCGTGGTATGTTTGGACAGAACGAGACAGAATTCTTTATTAAACTAGTAAAAGACTGGAATTACGGGAATACTGGATTCTAAACAACAAAGAAATGCCACACATTATCAAGACCTTGAAGCAGATATGAGGGAGAAACAGCCATAAACACCTCATACATGCTGCTCACTAGTATAATGGGCTTTCCTTGCCATTAATGCTTGGATAACACACCTACCTCTCCTTTCTACTAAAAATAATGGCTAGTGAGTGGCTGCAATATACATTAACCTATCAACATCCATGCCATGATTTTTGGAATGACTTAGCCGAGAAAAAAATGACATTTACCCGCTTAACATTGGTTAATGGAAACACTGTCATTTCATTTAGATTATTTTTTAATCAACATTTAGAAAATATCGCAAAAAGTTTTACGCAAATCTGTTGTGGAAATGCTGCTAGGGTCTTTTTTGAGTCAGTTGGGTCACTAGAAAGATTATAAAGTGAATGTAATGTTAACATCTGCTGCTGTACATTGCTGACATGGGTTTCTTTGGTAAAGGTTAGCCAATTCAAAGGGCATTCTGTCCAAATTGCCTCTGCTGACACCAGCTTCCACATTCCTCTCACTATCCACGCTCATATTCATGAATCTTTATCGTCTGTACATCCCTGATCTCTCTGAACCAAATTGAATACTGTATGCCATCCAACATATACCATAATAAACACATATAGCTTTTCGGCATTTGGCATGCAGAAATGTGTTCAGTGAAAGTTCAGAAAGAAATTAAATATGCCATTTTAATAATATCATTTTAGTATTTAGATGAGGTAATGTTATTTATTTATTGCACATGGCCTTCCATATTTTTTCCCCCTGACTTTTTATTAAAAAACACTAAACAACACTAAAACTTCTTTAAAAGACATTTTCCCAAACCTTCACCACATTTGTAATGTTGCATGAAGTTCTTGGCTATTATCATGAAAAGACTAACTGCTAAGTCATCAAATCTTTGCAGAAAACACAAACACAGGTCTGCCTTTTATTTCTATAATATATAATTCTCAACTTACCTAAGTCAGAGGTGAAAGCACTTCTGATGGTTATCTCACAGAATCTTGTTCACTCTTAAAAACGAAGGTTCTTTATTGCCATTCAAGATTCTATGAAGAACCTTAGATGCCTTTTTCAATGGGCCGTGATATGTAAACCATTTGGTCAAAGTTAGTCTGTGAAAACTGGGGAGGAAATTCACTGTGCATCTGCAAATGTAGTTAGATGCATGTACAGTATGATTATCTATAACTGCAATAGACTTCAGCAGATGATTTTGCTATACTAACACAATACAACAAGACGAATGCATTAGCTAAGTCAACATTAAAAGGTTATTGGTGAGACTTTACAATAAGGTTCATTAGTTAACATTAGTTAACCTTAGTTAACGTAAACTTAGTCAATATTAATTTCAACATTTACTAATACATTATTAAAATCAAAGATTGTATGTTTTAAAGGGGTGATGAACTAAGGAATCAAATTTTCCTTGAGCTTTTGACATCTAAGAGGTCATCATATAAGTCATATAAGTTTCAGAACTGTTCAATAAAAGCTTTTATTGACACCAGGCTCAGCAAACGACTCGTTTTTCAAAGTGGGGAACTATAAATAAACTAAGCTTTATTTTTATTAAAAGTACCAGACCTTTGGTACCAAGTTGATACTAAAATATACCGTTTTTTATGTTTAATCAATGTTTATTTACTGACCAGATTAACAAGGTTTTGGTATTGATTACATGACTACTACTGTTTTTTTTTTAGCATGTTGCCTTTTATCATAAATAATTGATTTTTTCATTAAACATGTGTTTATGTGTCAAGGTGATATGTGAGCGTGACCTCCTGGGGACACAGTTGGTGAAGAGAAACGATGAGCTGAAACTGCTGTACGAAAAGATCAAAATTCAAGAGTCCATCATAAACAAGGGCCATCTTCATTACAACGAAAAAGTGGAGGATATCAGACTCCTGAAGCTAGAGATCAAGAAGCAAAGACGAGAAAAGAACATCCTCAATAAGACCGCATCAAATGTCGAGGACCTCAGGTAACACAGGGGGGGTGTAGTTTCTGTTCATATATGGAAGGGTTTTTATATATGGAAGAATGGGCTTAGAGCGTTTTCACACTAAAGCGTGTTTGACGTCAGAGATCGATTCCTTTAGTTTGTGTGAAAGCTGTTAACGGTTCTTGTAGACTGCATTATGGCAGTGGTATGAAAGTAATCTGCCATAATAATGTGAAAGGGAAACACTTGACACACTTTTGATTCACAATCATACATTGATGGCACAAATGTAATCTTTTTTTATGTCTAAAACACTCTAAAACATCGTAGAGGCAGGTGTTTGATTGCTTTTCTGCAACACTCATGTACTCTTTAGAGGTATAATGACATAATGATTATGCGGCACATACGGCACCGAGAGACAAAGCTAATTGGGTGCTTGTCATTTAATTCTCCTGTCAGTATTGACCCCGCGAGATGTTTATTGATATTTTCAAAAGCCGCAATTCACCACTCTCAATACCAGTCACTTTTTTTTGTCACAAAAGACATGCAATAAAAGCCACTTTTAATGGAGTTCTTGGCTGGGTAAAAAGGAGGCATCAACTGCTCACTGTGGAAAATGAGGGAACGTTTGAAAACACTGGCAGATCTCGCATCTAAAGCCAGATCTATAATAGATGGGTTTTACTAACACTCTACTTGTTATTTCAGTAATGTGAGGGGTGGGGATGAGTTCACAGACAGTTTCTCTTAGGCCACTGCAGAGTCTCTAAATATTCAATGAGTCTGAATTGTGTACCGAAATGTCCATTGTTCCAAAATGACTTTTGGAGACAAAAATATCTACATTCATTAAAAAGTTAAAACAGAAGTGACAACCATTTGAAAATGAATAGTACACTAGTGCTGCTTTTCTGACTTTTAAATTGGTTCAGGCCTAATAAGATTCACTTTTTATAATAAAATGAGTAAATGACTAAATAAATGACTCATTAATCGCCCATTAAGCTTTTATTTATTAATGAAAGAAAGAAGTAACTATGGCTGAACTTTAAATCACATACTTGCATATGACGCTTACTATTTCTGGCATATAAATAATTGATACAAGCAGTTGAGTATGCGGTTCCATTTTTAGCCTGTCTTTTACCCCTTTTCCACCAAAAAAGAAGTGGTTCGGAACTGGTGCTGGTTCAAAGTTGGTTCGGAGTTGGTTCAACTTGCGAACCGCTTCAGAACCTGTTTGTTTTTCCACTGACTAGAGCGCCCAGGGAACGACGTCGTTACGTCACTGTGTACGTCGCCATATGTTTTAGCTAGAAACGCTTGCAAGTAACATTACTTTGGGATTATCTCTAACTCGTGTACCAAGAAGGGTTTAAAAACAACTGAAATATGTAAGTCTTGTAATCTTTTCTGATAAGTTATGTACAATATTTGTTCTATATTGTGACTTTTCTTTTTTGCTTATAATGTCTTCAATAAAAAAATTGCAAAAATAGAAACGCTTGCGCCAAATTCAAGCATAACAATTACAAAAGCGGACTCCATCGTGTTTCTGCAAATGTTTCTCCTGGATTTGCGATCCTTTATTATGGTCAGAAAAGATGTTCAGAACACATCTAAACCCGCCCCCAGCCCCCGACGTAAGCATGACGTGGTAAAAGAACGGTTCTAGTCCAGCAAAGAGTTGGTGCCGCTTTGGAACCAGCTCTCCTGGCCGAGAACCGGTTCTTTGGCTGTCGAAACACAAAGAACTGGTTCGCGCGCAGGCACGGGCTCCGGACCGGCTCTCAAAAGGGGCTTTTATGAGTGAGCCATTGCATAATTCACTCAAATGCTTCATGCACGACATTGATTAATTCCAGAAGGAAACACGTGACTCTTTATGAGTGAGTCATTAAATTCACTCAAACTATATGTCCACAATATGTATTCATTCAACAAGCGATTGTGTTTGAGTGACTCGTTCAATCATTTACTCAAATGATTCATTCACAACAAATTTATTCAAGAACAAAACAAGCGGCTGTATATTATATGATGGAGCCCTTGAATCATTCACTTAAACAGTTTTTTTAAGGCTATACTGTTTAATCATACAGGGAATTCTGTTTTTGTCAAACAGCGACCCCTAGAGTCACTGTGGAGTACTTGTATTTGACGTTACTGTCGTAAATACCACTCACGCAGAGCGTCTCTGCGCTCATGGCCTGATACCCCTTTGAAACTGTTATATTAAGGTACAAATATTGCATAGTATGCCTTTAAATAAGAGATCTAGGAGGTGTTTATGGGTAGACCTACTATGATATTAGACTACATAGCCTATAATAAAAGTCTGTCATTAGACTTTAGTCTGCCACTAAAAAATGGCATGTTGTGGTTCCGGTTGACCAGATTCGGGAGAACAGCTTAGATTTTCGGGACGTCTGGTCACCCTATGTCGGACGCGCTCTTCAATCTATCGACGTTGCGGACTTTCTCTATTCGTTCCAGTCAAATCACAAAATAAAATGCACACAAACTGGGAAATATTTACTTACTAGTCCATCAACAAGATCGCCAGGTCAGCATCACTGTTGCATCCAGTTTATCTTTTACTTTTCATACTCTCTTCCGACCGCGTTTTCTTTGCTTTTTCCATCGTCGAGTATCACGTCTGAAATGCAAGCAATTGCTTCATGTGTTGTTGTGTGTGACGTCGTTGCCGTAAAGCATGTCGTGATTCTCATGAGATATCTCCCCCAAGCTTTATTACCAGGATGATTCCCCTACTATGAGATTGTTTAGCACCGAAATGACAAAAGATGCAATTCTTGCATAGTGTGCCTTTAAATAAAAAAAAGAAGTGACCTCAAAGGTCAAACAAGTGTCTTAAAGAGCAAGTTTAAATCATTCACTTAAATCATTTACTCAAATGATTAGTTCAAAACGGTGATTCATTCAAGAATGAAACAACTCTATGTTTCTCTGAGATAACAGAAGGGCTAAAAACCTATTTTTTATTAGTCCATAGACTTAACATCCATGAAACATGATTTTATTGCTAGTCAGCTGCAGTTGGATTGACATTCTCATTTCAGAGAGCGTTTTTTTTTTTTTTTGGCTTAAAAAAAAAGTATATCAATTTTAAATGCATTTATCTGCTAAAAAGTGAGCAGTCACATCTCTCCAAACCAGTCATGCCCCGTAGCACCTTGAACTCTCAACAGAAAACATAGACGAGTCATAATCCTTCCTATATTCTCAAACATATGTGAGAATCACAAAGCTAGTGGTAAGATTTCAGAGAGACCAGTCAGCAGCCGCTGTGCCAGATGGGTTGACTTGTTGCCGAGCTTGGATGCCAAGAACTCTGCAGATATACAAGCCTCCCTAGTAAACAGGTGGCAAATTTTAGTCATTATTGCTGTCATCAGTGCAATGAAGTTCCCTCAAAGATGCTGACTGTAGCATATCGTTGCCCGGGCGTGAAGAAATATTTCCTTTAGGCATTAGGTTTTCTGGGACAAGTCAATGAAAGGAAAGTCTCATGAGAAACTGACATCCTTCTATGTTTACATTTATACATTTTCCAGCCGCTTTCATCCAAAGCGACTTCCAAATGAAGAATGTGACAACATCCGAGTTTATTCCAGTAATATGACTACAATATACAATACGCTTGCAGTAGTACCTCAATGCAGTACATGAGATCCACGGGGAGGAGTCGGATCCAGATCCAACTCCTCCCACCTTACATACACCTGAACCTACCCAACTCCACCCCTTGGATCTTGATCCGACTCCTCCCCGTGGATCTCATGTACTGCATTGAGGTACTACTGCAAGCGCCGGAAGTGATCTAAATATGGTTGTAAAAATCGTCTTACATTGTGATTGTGACAATTAATGACGTACACACACAAAATATCAAAATTGAAACTACTGCGGAAACAAAGACACCTACATCTTGGATGCCCTTGAGGTAAGCTAAAACATACCAAAAATGAACTTTAAAGTGAACTATCCTTTTAAAATAACTGTTGATTCCTGTGATGGCAAAGCTGAATTTTCATCAGTCATTACTCCAGGCTTCAGTGTCACATGATCTTTCAGAAATCATTCTAATAGGCCGATTTGCTGCTCAATAAATGTTTTTAGTATTATTATCAATGTTGAAAACAGTTTGTGCTTAGTCAGCTTAGTGCTTGGAAACTAATGATGGAACGAAAGTTCATAAGAAAAGTATAATTATACTTATTTATTATTAATTATAGTAGTTTCACTCGTGTTCACTCACATTTTTTTCTGATAGCAGTGGAAATAACGTAAAATACTTACAAGTATTTTTTGATACAACATTCAAAACTAGTGTCTACTGTTTTTAGAGAGATCTTACTGACCTCTGAGTTAACTTTGTATTGTCAAAGGAATCGCTCACATTTCATTAAGAGATATCTAGGAATCTCATAGTAAGAGATCTTGTAACATTTCAGAATAGTATGTATTAATGACGCACCAAAAAGATCCTAAAGAGTTCAGATAGGATTTAATCTATTCCTGTAGACTAGAGTGACCAAAGGAGAGCCGCTGTACCGTTGTTGTCACCAACTGAAGTGGAAGGTGTAAGGGTGACGATTTTGACTTGACGCCACTGTGTTAGTTTGTCAAGTCATGGGCCCCTGAACTCTTATCAACAAGCTTGTGATTCTGTCTTAAATAATTCCCTGCCTCCGTGCCACTTAGCTATCAAATTGTGCGATACACAACCACAAATGAAGCTGAATAAAAATTGGATGAAAATTCCTCTGGTTCATAAGAACTGTGCTCAAACGTTCCAAGAAAACTTGTCTCAACATCCACTCAATAGAGAGAGAGAGAGAGAGAATGATTGGAATGTAAATGAAACTATTTTCTTAATAATGACAGTCAAATGAACTCTACGTCTCAAAATAGATTGCAATCAAAGCTCATGTACATAATGTTAATGTATGCAATTTTAAATTAAACCGAGACACATTCTAAGACATTTCACTCTACCCACCAGGTCA